GCTTAAACTTAGGCTGCACACCCTTGAAATGTGACAATACTAGTGCTATTAATCTCACCAATAATCCAATTATGCACTCTAGAACCAAACACATTGATATAAGGCATCATTTCCTTAGGGACCATGTCCAAAAGAAGGATGTGTTAGTAGAATTCATTGATACTCATAATCAACTAGCGGAAATATTTACTAAACCGTTAGCAAAAGAACCTTTTTATAAGATTAGACGAGAATTTGACATTCTCGATGAAGCTTACTTGTCCTAACATGTTTAAATGTTTATATGTATGCTTCATTGTTTATATCCAATGCCTACTTGATCTTAAATTGTGTGTTTTATGCTTTAATTTCAAGTTTTTAGAGCCAAAAAATCACTTTCAGCATCAGTGGGGAGAAAATTGGTTACAGTAATCGATTACTGGAAACCAAGTAATCGATTACTCAGTGCTACTGTTTGAAAATTTTTGAATTTTTGAAAGTGAGTAATCGATTACTCACTCAGTGTAATCGATTACTCTGTGCAGTTATATATATGAACTGCTGCATTTTTTAGAAATTCTCCATTCTTTCTCTCTCTTGTAACTCGTTTTCTTCCCTCTCCAAACCCTCTCATTCTCTAAAAACCTCATTTCTACTATGTTTTGATTGATTTTTGTTGCAAATCACATCACATTTTCAATTCTAAACACTTATACACCTTTTATTTCGTGATTTGTGGCCTAAATCAAAAACCCTAAACCTTCAAACACCAGCAATGGCTTCATCTTCAAAAAGACCATGTTCTTCAAAGTCTAAGCAAGGAGAATCAACTACCAAGTCCAACCCGTTGAACTTGACGAGGCTTCTTGCTAATGATGCTCAAAGGAATGTCTTCGAGGAAAACTTCCATGGATGCGCCATCTTCACCTCTAAGTACGGTAACATTGGGAACTTTGAGTTTGAAGATTTTATTTTTCCTTATCTTTTGTGGCAACAAAACTTTTTGACTTTTGCTGCGAAGCGAACGATATTTATCCTGAGCTTGTTCGCGTATTTTACTGCAACATGAACTCTAGGAAAAATCTTTTGACTTCCCATGTTAAGGGAAAGGACATTGTTTTGGATATGAAAACCTTTAGTTCTATTTGCTGTGATATACCGATGATAGGCGACATTATTGGGTTCGGCCTGGTATGTGAGTGGGATGATTACGATCGCAAGAAATTCTATCTTTCTATTTGTAGAATTTCTAAGGAGGAAATAGAAAGGCGAAAGCAACAAAGCCTTGGCGAGACTATTAAGAACAGGGATATCCTCTCTGCTGGATATCTCACGCTGGAAGATCGTTTGATACATTATTTTCTTTCCTATGCCATTTTGCCTAAATTTTCAAACCATTCGCAAATAAGTGACATAGAGCTCCAATTGATGTATGTTATCAAGTTTAACATCAAAATTAATTCGACTAAGATGATAATGAATCAAATGTGGTATGTTCGCGGCTCCCAAAGTCCTTTGCCCTACGCCATCTTCATTACCAAAATCCTAGAGCATTTCGATGTACCTTTAGAAGGTGAGACCAAAGTGGCCCTCAATCTTCGGGAAAGCAAGGTTGATATTGAGGTTGTCCACAAGATGGGATTCGTTATGGATCCTGTCACTCTTCGAACCTACAAGCATCGTACCGACCGCCAACCTGCTCCTACCGATGAACCAGAACCTACTGCTGCACCAAACCAGCCCGAGTCTCATGCTCGATCTTCTGCATCTGTTGCAATGCCCACTAATCAAATGATTATGGATGAATTGGTTTCTCTTCGAGGCTACATCACCACAAGGATGGATGCTTTCGATACTCAGAGCCAACAAATCCATTATGAACTTCATCGTCTTTCTTCGAGGCTAAGAAACATGGATGTTGATGAAGATAGTTCCGAGCCGAAGTCTTAGATTATTTTGTCTAGGTTTCTGATTTTGTAATGACTATGGCTGTGCTAGTTCCATTTGCTTTTGAACATTGTTTGGGTTATTTTCATGTTATTTCTGTTTTTGATTTTGTGTATGAACATCTTTATTTTCGTTGTTATGCAATGTGTTTATGTTTCATACATGGTGTAAATTATATTATGCTTTATATTACTTGAACTTTCATATACTATGCTCTACAAATGTCTATTGTGCTAGACTCTTGGCTTTTCTTCTTTTTGATGAAGTCAAAAGGGGGATAAAAGTTGGGAGATGTGTATTTTCTGTCAATATTCTTTCAGGCACATAATTCCAAAAGAAAGGGGGAGCATACATGCATACATATAGGGGGAGCATACTTAAGACAAGTCAAGATATATCATCAAGTATGCTGCTCTCAGAAAATTACACTTTCAAGAAGACATTGGTTTATCATCATCAAAAAGGGGGAGATTGTGAAGAAGATCTTGCTCCTGACCTTGGCACGGTTTTGATGAAGACACCAATATCACAAAAGGAAGAAAGGAAGAAGACCGACAAATACTATCGAAGATAAAGCTTCAAGAAATAGAGTCTAAGTCTTTATGTACTTCTATCCTTACAACTCCTTTAATTACTTAGTTAATAATGCTCAAAATTATTTTCAAGAAAATAAAAAAAAACTAAGTGTGAATAAAAATAATTTTCAAAACCAATATGTAACGGGTTACCACACTTGAGTAACAAGTTACATGAGTGAGAAAAGAGTTTTCAAACCTCCAACAGCTATGAGTAATCCATTACAGACTTTGGAGTAACAGATTACCATTTTTAGAAAACAGGGTAATCAATTACTCAAAGTAGTGTAATCGATTACACTAAGGCAAATTTACAAAGTTGTCAAACAATGTTGTTGAGTAATCGATTACTCAAATCTAGTAATCGATTACACTGTGTGAATTTTCAAAAAGCTGTTAACAGGATTGTTGGGTAATCGATTACCCATTTGCAGTAATCGATTATTGAGAGCTGTTGAATCAGTTTTTAAGATTTCAAGTGAAGAAGTTTCACTTCAAACTGATTGCTTTTCATTCCAAACGAAACCTACTCATGCCTAAGGGTATTATGGTTGATTGGAAGCCTATGTAAAGGTATTGAAACACTCTCACAACATACAACAACTTAGATTACAAAATTTTACTTGAAACTCTCAAAAGCTCTCACACTTTCTGATTTTACTTACACTTTTCAAGCAACCTACTCTTAAACTTTCAAAGTCATTTTGAAGTTGCTTCTAAGTGTTTTTCAAATTGTTAAAGAGCATTATTATCAAAAGTATACGAGTTGTTATTGGATTGCAAGTTCTAGAAATTGTCATATACACTTGTAAGGCAATCCAAGCCAAATTGTACATTCTTCACTTTTGCAAAGTTTACTTTCTTTCACAAGGGTGTGAAGAGAAAGGGTGAGTGACTTTGTATAGTGTTTACCAAGGGTGTTACTTGGAATAGAGTTTTCCAAGGGGATTAGATATAAGTGAGTGTGTAAGGTACAAGGAGATCTTGGGGTGAGATATTTGTAATTGCAACTCATTATATTTAATAAAGGAATCTCTTGCGCGTCAAGAGTACTGGACGTAGCCTTCGGTGGACAAGAAGGTGAACCAGTATAAAACACATGTGTACTCTCTTTCCCTTCTCTTTGTTATTTATTTATCCTTCCTAGTCAATATTTTTCTGCACCATATTTCCGCTGCACGTTAACTTTGATATTGCAGAAAATTTGGCCATACTTATTGCAACAACTAATTCACCCCCCTCTTAGTTGCAATCTTAGTCTTACACAAACGATATTTATCCCGAGCTTGTTCGCGTATTTTAATGCAATATGAACTTTAGGAAGAATCTTATGAATTCCCATGTTAAGGGAAAAGATATAGTTTTGGATACCAAAACCTTCAGTTCAATATGCTGTGATATACCGATGCAAGGTGACATTACTGGTTTCGGCCTAGTATGTGAATGGGATGATTACGATCGCAATGGATTCTATCTTTCTCTATGTATAATCTCTAAGGAAGAAATAGAACAATGAAAGCAACAAGGCTATGGTGAGACTGTTATGAACATAGATATCCTCTCTGCTGGATATCTCAAGTTGGAAGAGTGTTTGCTCCATTATTTTCTGAGCTATGTCATTTTTCCCAAATTTTCAAATCATTCGCAAATTAGTGACATAGAGCTCCAATTGATGTATGCTATTAAGTATAACATCAAGATAAATTGGACTCAGATGATTATGCAACAAATGTGGCATGTTCGCGGCTCACAAAGTCCGTTGCCTTATGCTATCTTCATTACAAAGATTCCTGAGCACTTCGGCGTATCTCTTGATGGTGAGACAAAAGTGGCCCTCAATCTTCGCGAAATCAAGATTGATATAGAAGTTGTCCACAAAATGGGAGTTACTTTGGATCTTGTAACTCGTCGAACCTATAGGCATCGCAACGACAGACCGACTGCTCCTACCGAACAACCAGAACCTACCATACCTGACCAGTCTAAGGTTCAAGCTCCTTCTTCCTCATCTGCTGCCATGCATTCTAATCAAATGATCATGGATGAATTGGTTTCTCTTCGAGGCTACATCACTACAAGGATGGATGCCATTGACACTCAGAACCAACAAGTCCATTATGAACTTCATCGTCTTTCTTCGAGGCTAAACAACATGGATATCGATGAAGATAGTTCCGAGTCTGAATCTTAGATTCTTTGTCTAGGTTTCTGTTTGTAATGATTATGGCTGTGATATTTCTGATGGGATTTGAACATTGTGTGGTTATTGTCTTTTATTTCTGGTTTTGGATATTGTATATGAACATCTTTATATTACGGTTTTATGCAAAAATTTCTGCTTTTGTTTCATACATGTTATACTTATGGTTACATACTATAATTATGTTTATATAAATTATGCAAAAAAAAATCATATGTTACATCAAAGAACTTGTATGCTATGCTCTATATATTGTCTATTGTGATGGACTATTGGCTTTTCTTCTTTTTGATAAAGTC